GGCTTAGATTAATGAATGCTCCTAGTGATTCATCAGCTGGTTGAAACATTTCCATTGGCATTCTGTCATTTCCTGGAACCTTGCTTTTGGCTAATGCTGTAAATAAAGGCTGGACCATATGCTCTCTTTTGAAATATTTGAATGTCAACTTTTTTTTGGTGAAGTATGAATTCTTTCCATCTTCCTTGATGCCTCTTTCATCATTTATGACTTTGCCCATAGATTCTTTAAATATTGCAACTTGATGCTTGAAAGTTTTCTTAATTTCTGTTAGTTTCAGATATGCTGAGGCTGTTCTTCCTTTTTGATCTTCTAACTTGAGTTTTTTTTCACAATATAATATTTTCAATATATTATTTTTACTTTGTATTCTCGAGCTTCCCTTTGAAATTTTCTACTTAGCTCTTTGACATCTTCTTTCCTTTCATTTGACTTAGCTACTCTCTGATTAAGAGGAAGTTTCAGAGTCTCCTCAGAGAACTCATTTTTCCCCCCTGTTATTTTAATGATCTTCCTGAATAACGTACTTAATGTCATCCTACAGGTCATAGGTCTTCTTTCATTGGTGTTCAATCGGCCAAATTTGTTCTTAAGATATTCTCCACACTCAGGAAGGTCGTGTTTTGTCTCTCCTTGACTTGTTTTAATTTTCTTGTTTCATCTTCAACTTACATATGTGTAATTGATCCTCTGTTCCACATTCAGGCTCTGGCCTCCTTTTATTTGCTGATATTGAACTTCATTATCTCTTCACTCAGATGTAGTCAATTTTATTTTTGTGTGTTCCATTGAGAAAAGTTCACATGTATAGTTGTCTTTTGAGTTGTTGGAAACACAACACATTGCCTATGAAGAAGTTGTTTGTCTTGTAAAATTCTTTTAGTGATCCCCAATTTTGTTTCTATCACCAATAGCCTAATTTCCAACTAATATTCCTTCTTTGTTTTCAGTTTTTACACTCTAATTGCCATTAATCACCAATGCATCTTGAATGCATGTTAGATCATTTTCTAATGGAAGAAGTTGGTAGAATGAATCAATTTCTGTACCACATGTGTTAGTGGTTAGTGTATAAATTTGAATAATGGTTGTATTGATGGATTTCCTTGTGTTGGAATACACATTATCCTGTCACAGATGGCACTGTACTTTAAGATAAATCCTTAAATGTTCATTTTTACTATGAATTCAATGATATTCCTCTTAGTTGTTTCATTCTTGGCATAATAAACCATATAATTATCTGATTCAAACTGGCTATATTTAGGTTCACTAATGCCTAGAATACTGATCATTCCATTTTATTTTTACAACCTCCAATTTTCCCAGATTCAGAGTTTGTACATTCCAAGTTCCAATTATTACTAGATTTTTCCAGCTGTCTCTCATTTTGAGCTGTGTCCATCAGGAAATGGAAGTCATGATGGCTTTACACCCACAGGCTTTTCTCCATCCATGTCATTATTGTTGATTCTACTTTAAGAAGGCAGCTTCCTCAGTTATATTTTGAGTATCTTTCAATTTGAAGGGCTCATCTTTTGGCACTCTATCTGACAATGTTTGCTACTATTAAGTTTTCAGTAATGAATAACATTTCAATCTTTTCCATAGGGTTTTCCATGGCTAATTTTTTCTGACATGGACAGCCTTCATAATCGTTATTAACCTGGAAGCTCTGCTGAAACCTTTCCAAGTTGGCTGACTTTGCTGGTACTGGTAACATAACTTCCAGCATCACAGCAACACACATGCCACCACAGTACAACAAACTGATTGACCAGTGGTGGATTCTTCCTTGAGTGCTTGAAATAAAATGTGCTGGTGTGGTTGCTTAGTTATAAATAATAATATTGCATTTTACAATTTAAGAAACACTTTCAGATCTATTATTTAGTTGTGACTTTCATATTTTTAATAATTTATTAATTTAACATATAGATATTTAGTGATAATCATGTACAATACAGATTTCAGGTACTTAGGATAAGCCAGTGGACAAAGAGAAAAAGATAGCTCCACTCTGGTACTTCTGTGTTAACAAAAAAGTTTAAAATAAAAACAACTTTAACAAAAAGAAAAATACACATTTGAAGTTGATAAGTACTATACACAAAATAAGCACCACTTTTGAGCCTTGCTGAAGAGAATTGGTGGCACAGAGGAGAGAAAGGACAGAATTAAATGGGAGGGAATCTGTGGGAGGGAAATTCCCATCAGTGGGCACAGATGGAAGTTAAACACAAGATGTAGTCTCAAATAAGAAACCATAATGTGAGCAGCAGAAAGAACAAAGATGTATTTGAAGGCAGATAGAATCAGAGAAGAAACTAAAAGCCAAATTCTTTGGTATCTTATAGTTCATTGTGAAGAATTTGGCTTTAACGATAAGTTGAATAGAAGTTCACTTGCAGCCTATTGCTCAGATTATCAGATTTACTGGACTGGATTGGTGCAGCTACTGTATTGAGAAAACGGAATAGAGATAGGCATAGAGACAAGAATGTTATTAGGGAACAAATGTGGTAAGCCAGTACCATGGTTATAGTAGGGAACTGGTTAGGACTAACTAGCTGAATCCTGGATACATATTTAAGGTAGAGTCACCATTATTTATGGATGGAGTAGATATGAGCTGTTCAAACTGAGAGAAGTAAACCACATTTTTAGTGTCAACTGAAAGGATGGGGCTGTCACCCATTAAAATGGACATTTGTTTTATTTTTATCCCTTTTATTTGTTTTATTCTTGAGGTTATAGTAAGTTGAGAATGTAATGGAGATGTGGTTTTAGAGTATTTTTCTGGTAATGGACTGGAACTTCAAAACAAAGAGTAAAAGAATTTCCAAAGTTGTGAATATAGTCTAAGTGTTAGAAGATACACACAAAGCTATGGTGAAGGTGAAACCTATGGTGAAGGTACAAAGGAAGGCTTAGCTTTGTATCCTCATTGGCATAAACCTTGAACAATACATCCAGATGTGACAGAATTCAAGGGAAACGGAGATCAGGTTGTTAAGTTAGGTGGTAGGTTTTATCTCATAAAGAGTAGGCCTCTGTGGGCAGCCTCAGTCTCCTCAAACAGGATCTCTTTGCCTGATGAATGGATTGAGACACCAGGGAATTAATGCTTTTAGACCAATGTCTATTTTTTCCTAAACTCTGTTCCTAGTAATAGGACACATGCTTTTCAGCAAAACCAGCCTCTTTTATTAACGAGGAACCCTAGTGACAGAGTGGGTTAAGTGGTGTACAGGATCAGCAATTTGAAACCATCAGGTGTTCCAAGGGAGAAAGATGAGGATGAGACTTTCTACTCCTAAAGAGTAGACTTTCTACTCCTACTCCAATATCAGAAACTCACGGAGGCAGTTCTATCCTGCCCTGCAGACTTCCTATGAGTCTGAATCAAGTTGATAGCACTGAGGGTATTTTTGTTTGTTTGTTTATAGGGTGTGTGTGTGTGTGTGTGTGTATTAGCCTCTGATTTGGGGGAGTATCTCAGAAGAGGTCCAGCACATAATAGCATATAGAGAAGAAACACAGGATATGTATGATCTGTGAAGAGGTGTATATTGATATATCATTATATGAAATATAATGATACTTTATTTTTATTTTGTCTTTTTCCCAATGAGAAAACTGAGATAGAGGCAAATTGCTTTCTTAGATTGACATAAGTTTAAAGCCTAGAAAGCAAATTAAGTTAGTATTATGGTAGAAAAGAAAAGATATCAAAGTTTTCTTCCATGGAAAAGTCCCTGAGCATCAATTTAATGAGAGAAAGGTTTAAAGTATTCTGTTATATTTTGATTATCAAGATGGTGCTTTCTGATTTTTTTAGTAATTAAAATTTGTTTTGCATTTAAGAGAATTGGAGCTTTTACTTATTAGGTAAAAAATAAGAGAGAGATAACAGCAGAGTTAACCTATAACAATTTAAGATATTTGTTCAGAAGTCACAGGACATACTTTAAAAATAAATAAAATATCATTTCAAAACCATCATAATCAGCTTTATATGCATTTTAATCAAATAATTGAATTTGAATCATGTCACTTTTGATCTGAAATATTTACTGTAATACAGTGAGGTCAGTATCTTTTTATAAATATATAAGAATATTAAGAAGTAGAAATAGAGAATGAAATGTTTTGATATCTGATAACTAGTAATTTTATTGCTTGGTTGAAAGAATCCAGTTATTTTGAGCGTAAATTTTCATAAATTCTAATTCTAAAAATAGACCAAAAGTTAAAGGACAAAGTTGTATTCAGATTGAGGTATAGTCTAAGACTCTTTGATACTAGATTCATAAGAAAAAATCAAATAATTCCAAAAATATTAGTCCCCAAATAAAGACTATTTAAAAAGTAACTGTAGCGATATGAAACAAATTTAGCAAAAGCAATGCTGATCATTTTAATCAAGAATAAAATGGAATATTAAATAGGTAGAAATATAAAGCAACAGAAATAAGTAAAGAATAGGAAACAGCAAGAGAGAAATGATAGCAAGAAAAATTAGAATAACTAAGGACCAAAGGGAAAGAAACAGTTATTATGAATATGAAGCTGGAACAACAGAGTGAAAACTTGAAACCAAGACCTATGTTGGACTGCTTTAGAACCCATATAACAACTTCCATTTCTAATCCATAAAGATGTGAAGTAAATAACATTCAGATGACTAAGAAGCGGCAATTAATGTATAGAAATCTTTGTTTAATACAAATCTGTGAATTTGACCAAGGACTTGCTAAGAAATTCTGGAACCCTTTGGAAATAGATTTGGATGAAATTTCTGTATTTCTAAAATTATTAAACTCAACAATGAACCTCCAAATTAAAATATTTGATATTTTCCCTTTTATTTCTATGGGAAATTTCTCAGAGCAACAATGAGTAAAATGCTAACCTAAATAGAGGCCTGTGCTGAGATTTATGTATTCATATCTGCTCCACTACAAAAACCTTGCTAGGTATGGAGTGTATATTGGGAATATAGCTTTGGGAATAATTGTCTATAAAATTAGAAGCAGAGTCAAGATGACCCCAGGATCCCCAATTCTGTCTCCGCTTCTGTGATAGGTGGCAAGATAAGAGGATACGTATCACAGACAAAAAAATAAGGTCGTAGAACACCAGTGAAAAGTTGGTTGAATGTGTAGATGTGAGACCAATTTGTGACATTGTAAAAGGAGATTTCACCAGCTTCATAGTCCACGAAAATCCCAATGCGGTGAGGCCGTTCTAGTTGGAGAATAGGAACGGATGGGGACGACAGGACCATGTACTCATTCCCTTTCAGCAACCACATGGCCCAGATTCCATTCTCAGGAGATGGTGTGGTTTCTCCCTTTCTTGATATTGTGTCTTGACAAACCCCTAAACCCCACTCTGCTCTTTCTCCCACCACCACTTCCCAATAATGCCTCCCTGAGGAGAAATTCTGCAAACCCAGGATACAGGGCCACGTGTCAAAGCGCTCAGGGTTGTTGGGAACATCCCTCCACAGTTCTCCATCCTGCACACTGCGAAGGTCAGCAGTCAAGAGTAGACTAGGATGAGCCGTGGCTGGATCCAGCTTTACATCAACTGTGAAAAGAATGTTGTGGAACACATGAAAGGAAGGGGAATATGGGGGAAACTTGAGGAAGCTGTGACAATGAGGACAACAGACACTTTGTTTCTCATTATTTTCTAATTTCTCTGATTATTTTTCTCTCTCTTCTAAAGAAAACAGTGATCATTTTACCCAATAACTCTCTCAGCTTATTGTTCATTATATTCTTGTATATTTCATTTGGACTCCACATGTTCAAATGTTCAGAACTAATTATGAACTTGACAATCACCATATTTGTGATGGGAGAAACCTGGCCATTTATAGTGATTTCATCCACATACAAAGCACCAGGTACACTTGAGGGTGTGAAGGTATTCTGCAGTTAAAATAGGACCTATATATCTCATATGGTATTTTATTTCATTTAATGTTTTTTCTCAAGAGTGTGGCAAACGCTCATGAATACAACACCCACAGCTTTAAAATGTATGAAAGATCTTTTGACAAGCAGAATTCTAAGATATCCCAATGACCTTTAAAACTCTCATGTTATTTGAATGACTTTGTTATATAAGAGAATGGAGATTATCTGGATGAACCGAATCTAATAAAGGAGCTTTTAAAAGTTTTCCTTAGTTGGTTGGCTGATAGCAGAGGGAGTTAGGGAAATAAGGATTGCTTGTGTAGTTTCTGGCCTGGAACATGAGAAGGACCATGGGAAGATGAATGTGCTTGGTCTTCCTTCTTTCACACTGGCTCTCTACTAAAAACAAGCAAGGAAATATGGAACTCAGTCCTATTCACTGCAAGAAACCACCTCGGGCCAAAGATGACTGAGAGCCAGTCGACTTGCCTACATTTCTAAGGTTGTGATTATTTGTTACACAGCAAGAGGAAATTACTACAGACTCTAAGTCTTCACAAGGTTTATTTGGTGCTTAATTGTATACATAAATATTAAATATG